CCAGCAACAAGATCATTGTTCCCAACCTAAAGAAAAAACTTGAGAAAGCACAAGGCAAATAGGCTGACGAGTTACCTTTGATACTATGGGCAGACAGAACGACTCCAAAAAACGCAACCGGACAAACCCCTTTTTCTTTAGTTTATGCCGTAGAACGAAACAACGTGGAATTAGTACATGATTTCGACACCATCGATGAAGTTAGAGAGAAAGCCAAGATCTGACTACAATCTTATCAACAAATGGTGGCTAAGAGCTTAAACAAAAATGTCCGAGCTAGAATATTTAAGAAAGGTGACTGGGTTCTACGAAGAGTATTCGGAAATGAAGCAAGTGGAAAATTCAGTCCCAATTGGGAAGGCCCGTACAAGATCATCGATATTATTGGACAGGGGGGCATATCGATTGGAATCGATAGATGGTAGACAGGTTCCTAGAAGTTGGAATGCGGTACACCATAAACTTTTCCATTTTTAATTCTGTTATGTCTTATTTATCATCCTAGACGACTTATTGACTTAACCATCGGAGGGCCATTGGCTCAAAACCAACGGCCAACTTTGACAGTTTGTGACGAATGCAGGGATATCTTGAAGCGTAAGTTTAGACAACTAGAGAAGCGGCCTACGAAGGTTATAAGATGTCAATCAGGCTCGCAATGGACAAACATTTTTTAGACATCAAAACCAGAGCCCATACAATGCGTTTTGGCCAAAACCTACACAAATATATGACAATGCACGTGCAACCAAAACATATATGACATCGCACGTGCAACAAAAAATACAGAACTACACAACGAAACAACATGCTCCAACATAAGGAGATAATACAAACGACAAATGTAATGCTATTTAAAGTTTTTGCAGGATATGGACCAGGTTCACACAACCCATCTCGCCATCTTCAACGACGGATGATGTTCCCTTCGTCGGATGAAGTGTCAACATCAATATGAAAAATGTTGCAAATTTCTGTCCTGAGCCGTCAAGGCAATTTTGGAAGAGAGAAGATAACATGTCAGCTTTCAGTTTTCGTGGTTTTAGTTGAGGAGACAGATTCGGTCGAAGGTTAATCCGAAGAAAGACGAAGACGTTTCATCAACCGAAGTCATCAATATGTCTTAACAAGTCGTTGATGAGTCAACAGATGCAAAGAACCAAGAGGTGAAGCATAGCTCTTTTAAAATTTTGAGAAATTGCCGCTTGATGATTCGACCCATGCATCGTACGTGTCAACTTCTCGAAAGGGGGCAATTGTTAGAGCAAGAATTTGGCGGTTTATGTTGCATTAAAGAGAGTTGATCACAGAAGTTAATGAGACTTACTGATGGCTGTTGAAACGGATTTGTGTTTATTATTATGGTTAATAATGATATTAAGGCATGAGGTTACTTATTTTGAGCTGACCAACATTAATGACAAGTTGTGAAACCGTCGAGTCGGAACCGTCAAGTCAAACCACCCGTAACAGACAACTTGAGCTAGTGGAGCATTCACAAGGCCTAATGACAATTATTGTAACGTCTTTATGTATTATTAGCCTCTTTAATATGGTTAATGAAGATATTGATTGTAATTGACCGGCCTTTATGACAGGTTTGAAATTGTCATAAAGTGCGACCAACCCGTCAGTAACGTACAAAGTCATCATTATGGCTTCAATTACCTTTCCTATAAATAGGATAGCCTCATTGTAATCAGCAGCTTCACATCCGAACAACACACTGAAATACACTCTTATTCGCTCATTTGTCATCTTCTTCATTGTTCTTGTACGAGACCCTATCTACATATAATTTTCTTTTAAATTAGTTTTAGCTTATCAAAATTTTGCTTAAACACGCGCCATATTTCAGCGGGGAGGAAATAATTCCCCCATCCCCGCCCCACCCCACCACCCGCCCCAACTCCCCCTCATGGGGCGGTCCCCCACCGGCCCCCACCCCATTGCCATCCTTACCCAAGACTTTATCTACGAGTACAGTAAATGCACACTACACGATGGAACGAATGCTTCTTAAACGCAACTGTATTGTGTCATCAATCACCAATAAAAGCACCCGATCCTGTTTTTTCACTGCACAAAATCAATATTTCACGCTTTTCTGGTACGTGTCCTTGACTCCGTCCTTTGGTAAACTATTGCTTCAATTCAAGCACAACACATTTGCCTGTTGCATCGGCAGTACAATAATGAGATGTTTTTTATCTTGTCGGGGTTGGGGGACCCTCAGGGATGGGTTGTCATCCTTTTTTTAGATGTTTTTGATTGAGGGAGAATTCTAAAAAGAATCTGAATAGTACATGCGTGTTCTCTTCAAAACCTAAATACCAATGATTATTAAAATACTACTCCCTCCGTCCCAGAATTTACTTCCATAGTACAAATGGCACATGAATTAAGAAAGTGGGAATTGTGTAGTGGAGAGTTGTGCAGAGGAGAGAGAAATGTGTAAGAATGTGTAAGAATTGTTGTGAACCACAAATTCTTTGCCAAAAAGTGAAAGAGAAGTTCTTTTTGGGACAGACGAAAAGGGAAAGTTGGAAGTAAATTATGGGACGGAGGGAGTAGTTGTTAATAACATAACACCTATAAAACTTTAAACTACTTGGTATGAACTGTGAACTATCATTCACTACAAAAAACAAATTGATTTTTACTCCCAAAGCCTTCACTTCTTATTGTATTTTTTATCACTTTTTTTTTACGGATTTCTTAATTTGGTTAGTTGCATTTTTTTCTCACAATTTTCTAGATTAGGTGCAATTTTTTTATCATAGAGTTTTTTGCGCTAGTTTTTTTCCCCAAATAGATTTGCTTTATTTTAGGGATTGCAATTTATTCACTACAATTTTTTGGGATGACTCGAACCGTCCCGTTTTGTCCCGGTACCGGTTAAAATGAGACAACAAATGGACAACGTCTTGTCCCGTCTCGCTCCAAATCGTTATTATAAAAAGGGCTTAGTACCGGGACAACCCATTTCTCGTTCCGTTCAGGACCATGCCCACCCCTATCAATGGTAATGTGGCCAACGTAGGTGTTAGGATGTTTTTACTTTGAACATCTTTTAATCCCAGACCAAACTAGACCAGACTTAAATAAACTAAATCAGACCATACCAGATTTAAACAGACCAGACCAAACCAGACCAGACTTAAACAAACCAGACCAGACTTGATTTTCGTCGTTATAAAATACACTGAGATCAGACCTTTACCACACCAGACCAGACTTAAACAGACCAGATCACACCAAACCAACAAATTACAGTCCAAAGTAAAAACATCCTTATTCAATCCCAATATCAAAACATCTGTTAATGTAAAAAATATACCAACTTAATGGTCTGGCGATTACCCACTTAGGATCATATGTATCATTAATGAATAAGTGTTTTTCTTAAAAATGTAAGTTTGTATTTACATTAAACAATACAATGATTTTGAAAATATACGGCATGTTTACTAACAGATACCACCTCCGTTCTTAAATAAATGCAACACTTTGACTTTTACACTATTCACATGTTCTACTTTGACTACGTTTTATTTATTAATGTAATAATATTATTTTATGAAAAACATATTGTTAAACTTGTCTCATTGTAAATTTTCATAATCTAATTTTTTTAATTTGTTTACTAATACAAAATCATTTATATTAATGGTCAAAGTTGTGTCTCGATAAGTGTGAAATGTTGACCGTTGCATTTATTTAAGAACGGATGAAGTATATTTTTCCGGTTTTTCAGAATATTTGAAATCTTGAAAAAGGAAAACAGAAAACGTGTTTACAAAAAAAATTGCTGAAAACTTGAGAAAAGAAAACAGAAAATGTGTTTACAAATCATTCTCCAAAACAAAAAAAAATGAGATGTGACTCAGTTTTCCTTATTGAATTAGAAAAATGAGTTTAACTAGTTTTCCAAATTTGAAAAATGCAGATATTGCAGTGCTGCTGCAATGGATTTGCATACTTACGCCTATTGGTGAATTCGGTCTCGCTCCGTTGTGAGTTCCAATCCAGTCCGGTCAACGATCATGCGGTCCCTATCTGATCCGGTCAACGACCCAGTGGTCCATTCCGGTCAATGACCCCGACAGCCCATGTCCATGTCTTGTCCGGACAATGACCTGGCAGTCCTTGTCATGTCCGGACAGCGACCAGGCAATATCTGTCGGTCCAATCAACGACCACGCAGTCCTGGTCTAGTCCGATCGACGGCAGTGCAATCCCAATTTGGCCCAGTCAACAGCCGAGCAGTTCTGGTCCGGTCCGGTCAATGACCTGACGATCTCTTTCTGGTCAGGTCAACGACTCGGTAGTCCCTGTCGGGTCAATAACCCGACGGTCCCTGTCCGGCCCGTCCCGATCAACGACCCACGATCTACGTCCTGTCCGATCAATGACCCGACGGTTTTTGTCCGGTCTAGTCGATGACCGGGCAATCCTCGGCCGGTCCCTTCAACGACCCAACAGTTCGGTCCTCGTTTTCTTAAATTATTTTGTTAAAATGAAGAATTTCAAAAGAGTCGTTGAGTTGTCAATCAATACGGAAAAGGTAAAAAAGAATTAATCAAAATAGCCGTTGGGACTGACTGGGATCGGCCGATTTCGGTCCAAACATTCCTATACCCTGGACCTGGTTCTTTGTTTGGGTTGTACTAGGTTCGATTCCAGACTGAGACCGTATCTCGATCATTCGATCGGTCACAGAACCGGACGAAAAAAATTGATGAACATGATTTCAGATTTGAAAACGGAAACTTCGAGATTGAAAAATTGAAAAATGTAAACAAAAAATTGAAGAACGAAAAACAATAAAGAAAACTGAAAAATATTTGTGTTAGTAAACAAGCCCTAATGTTTTCATATTTAAAAGATTCATGACAGTTTAGACTTGCAAAACAGAATTCGCAGGGTGAAAAAGAAAAAAAAAGGGGACGAATGAAGGCATGGGATTCGTTGGGGTTAGCAAACTGCAAAGGGTGTGCTTTTGCGGTACGGTGAAATGTTTGTTACTTAACCACACCAAATACAAAAGTCAAAACCACACCACGAGACTACGCACCTAATTCAACAACCGGATATTGACTATGAAGAATGGACAAACCACACTCAAGTCCTTTTTTTTACCTAATAATAAGAGCAATTTCTATAATAATAATAATCACATATTATAATAATATATTATAATAACGATCAATATCCCCTAAACGGCTAAACACAGAACAAAAGCACCGAGTTTGCTTTGGAAACTTTGGGACTTTCACATACTCGTACATAATAGTCTTTCATTTTTCAGATCTGAAAAGGAAAAGACGAAAGAAAAGAAAAACAGATCTCAATGCATTTCCTCTTCATCTGGGAACTCATCAGCATCCTGGAAGTTGTTCTCCATGAAGTTGTTGTTCTTGAACTGGTTTCTTGAACTACCAGCAGCAAAGCTTTTTGAATTTTCAAATGGGCTTCTCACGGATTTCTCTGTGTTGACATCGTAGTAGTATTTCCCGTTTTCCAAGAATCTCGTGTCACTCATCCCCTGCTGCTGAACCCAGTTTGCACCAGTGCCTTTACCTTTGTATTTCGAGTAACTTTCCCCGGGGAAGGGTTGTTCCTCCTGCTGGTTGTGAAAATCACTCTCCGTGAATTTGTCTTCGGGCACGCTTGATTCTTGGTTGTCGAGGTAGTTGTTAATGTTGCCGCCGCCGGCAGACGCGGTGGTGGACTCCTGGTAGTTATCGGCAGCGGTAGCCGGAGTGAACTCCTTGTCGTCGAACATCGTGCCATCGGGCATGCTTGATTCTTTTCGGCCAATGGGTTCTGTGGTGCTCAACAAATTTGTGTCTTCGGTGTGAAAGTTCGATTCTTTGTCGCCTGTCTTCTGACTGTTATCGGCGGCCTCATAAGTGCGGTCTTCGGCTACAGTAATATAGGCAACAGTGTTGTAGTTCTTGGGAAGATATTTCTTGTTCGGAATATCCTCCGAGATTTGGGTGGGGGTGGTGTGGGCTTGCTGGTGGTCGAAGGTGGTAGCGGTGGTGGCGGAAGGAGGAAGCTGGCCGGCCTCATGACTGAAAAGGCCATAGCTGTTTTCATTCTCTACGGTGAAAGTTGGTTCTTGCTTTTGTGGAACAGGGGTTGCCTGCTGGGCTTCGCTGTTGACAGCATTGCTACTGGAGACTTTGTTGAAGAAATGGCTTTCTCTGGCATTAATTTGGAAACAGGATGACAATAGGGCGATGAGGAAGAAGATGAAAACTTGCTTGGCCATGGATCCAAGTGGAAAAGGAGAGCGAGAGTGAAGAGAGAGAGGGAGCCTTTGTTGTGTACTCGAAAGTGCTCTGAACTAGTGACTTTCTATCTTATATAGACTCACTCTTTTGAAATTTCTACCCATCCTTTGACCGTCTTTAATTAATGAAAAATTGATACTAATAATCTCAATTATTGACCGTCCGCTTAGAATAATCTCAATTATCGAATATTTTAGAATAATTTCAATTTTACGGATCTTCCGTCAATAACAGTCCGACGTGATCAGCTATAAATAAATTTCTATAATTTCTAAAGTGGATCAGAAAAGATTTAACAAGTAATCCCTATAAATAATTCTAACTTTTAATTTTTAAGCTTAATTTCTATTTAAAATTCACTTGTTATAGCAGGTAATATCTGGTCATTGACCATTATTGGTGGACGGTCCATATAGTTGGGATTATACAAAAATAATCAATAGTTGGGATTATTGTTAGGCTGTTAGTGGACCGGCAATAGTTGGGATTATTATTTTCAAATTTTCCTTTAATTAACTCTAATTTTGATTTTTTAAAGGGATAATGGATCCAACCTTACCCGGTCTTCATTTAACAGTCCCTAGCTCCCTATTATCGAAAATCCATCAAAAATTCCAACTTTGAATGTCATCTTCCGTAATCGGTTCCGAAGACTTGTTACCGGCTAGGACAGTCACTTTTTAAAGAAAAGTGGAAATTAATAATTCAACCTTTACTCGATCTTCATTTAACGGTCCCTGTTACCGGTAATTCTAAATATAAAAACTTACTCCATTCGGTCACTCTCGGGTCGGGATTGTTTTTTGAAGATGACATAGAAAGTTGGGATTTTTAATGGATTTTCGATAACAGAGACCGTTAAATGAAGACCGCGTAAAGGTTGGATTGATATTTTCCATTTCCCCTTTTTTAAATACTCTTGTTTCGTCCTTTAAAACTTTGTCAATTTTTCTTATTTAGTTTTCTCGTAGTTAAAATGATTCTCAACAGCAATTTAACCCAATACAATGAGAAAAGTAATTTCAACTTTTTCTTTCTTATTATTACTACCATTTAACTCCGAGCGTGGAATCAAAAGTTATGTTTTGATGATAAAGTTGAATGATAAAATAAGACCATATCATATAGATCTAAATTGATCAAAACAAATCACAAATTGACAATCCAATTAAATATTATAAAGCCATTCAAACCATTTGTAATTAAAAGGTTATATTTTACTACCTTCCTCCTCGTGAATTTTGCCAAGTGCAAGGTAGGTGAAAAATAAGAAAAGTAAAATTGTGTGGTTGAGATTTGTGCAGAAGAGAGAGAAATGTGTAGAACCACAAATTAGTTGTATTAATTAAAGAGTGACAAAAATTGTTGAGACAACAAAAAAAAGTTGGCAAAGTCTAATAGAAGGGAGGGAATAGCTTTTTATAATAGTTTAACATCATGGAAAACGCATAAGAATGGTGGCAGTTGGCTATGAAAAGGGTTAGTGAATTAATATATTATTACGTCCTAAATAGGAGTATATAAAAAAATTACAATAATAGAAGTATAAAGTTTAAATTATCAAAATAAAAGTAAGTCTTTCTATCCTACTATTTCCCTTGTCATGTTTTAGTAGGAATTTTTTAATATAATAATAAAACATAAAAAAATAGAAATAATTACATATTTATGACTAAAATAAAATTTGGTTACACAAAAAAAGACTAAAATAAAAATTGGTTACAAAAATGTAACTAGTGACTAGTGTAATAATGAAATTATAGTAACTTGTGTTCAACTTCTAAAATTAAGTTAGCATGACACTACATTGTAGTAACTATTAGTCATATTTATATAAATTAGTTTTATTGTAGTAATACTTTTGGGGGGAACCAAAAAAATAAAAATAAAAAATAAAAAATGGACAAATAAAAAATAGAGACTTTAGCCGCCGCTTCATCCATCTTTCAACAATGCAAACCTGCAAAAAATATGTCATCTTGCTGACAATTTTGAAAGATAATTTTGATTTTTCAAAAAGTAAAAATGTTATTTTCATGACATTTTACAGAAAATAACATGCAATTTTAGGGTTACAGAAGACAAGCCTTTAGATATTATATATCTAAAGGTTGGGCTTCTATATTACATTAGGCATACGGGCTCGGGTACAAAGTTGGCCTGGATTAATAACTAGTCCATTAAATACACAAATATAGAGATAATTCATGCGATTTAACACAATAAAATATATTTCTACCATAATATTTTTTACACAAAAATGATTCTCCCTCCGGTCCTAAATAAACTTCACACTTTGACTTCACACAAATTAAGGAAATAAATTAGACTTTACTGTAGAGTACACTGTTGTGACACTGTTTGGCACTGTTTTGCACTGTTTTGCACTAATTGCACTGTTTTGATCTAGATAATTTGCCAATTAAGGAAGAGAGAAGAAGTGTGAAGTTTATTGTGGACTTACCCAAAAAGGAAAGTGTGAAGTTTATTTAAGACCGGAGGGAGTATTTATTTCCGGCAATCGGAAGTGGTTGTACTGGAAGTTGGGAGATGCAGTGTTAGAGGCCCACATAAGTTTTATTATAAATCTATAATAAGAAAATAAATTGACTTCACACATATTAAGAAAATAAATTTACTAAGAGGTAAAATTTTACTATAGAGTACACTGTTGTGACAGTACTGTTTGACATTGTTTTGGCAATGCACTAATTTGATGTAGATTTATTTGCCAAATAAGGAAGTGTAAACTTATTTGGTACATCCAAAAAGGAAAGTTGGAACTTAAATACGGGACAAAAGAAGTACTAGTATGTACTAATTTATTCTGGTAACCTTTCATAGCAATTTCAATTCAGTTCCACGCAACAACCATGAAATCAGACAATGGTTCTTAATTCAACCACAAGTCTTCAGCTCCAACTCACACGCGGTCAAAGGTAGTCTAAATATGCGGTCAAGATTAGGAAGAACTTAAAGTTATTAAACAAAAGATCTTGAACCAACAAACAGACAGTGATCACAAGTCTCCAATTTAGCCATGGCTAATTAATTCCTTATGCATATCTATCATTCATTAACGGGTGTATACGTCTTATGTTTTTTTATTGCCACATCACCGCCACATAAAAAATGTCAAAACTTATAAACTTCTACTCAACCATAGTCTCTATTCATCCAGATTTTTATGAGACATATACTTCAACTCAAAATATTCCACTTAATGCATTCACAGTTCACACTAACTGATACAGAGTATATAATATGGTTGTGTGTGTGTATGTATACATAGAGACACACAAATAAATAAAATACACACACTCACATATTGTTTAATATACTCAATCACAGTAGTAACTACAATAACATACTCCGTATACACTTACGTTAATGTCTTAATGATTAATGAATAAATTATTACAAAAACTCCGCAAATTATACCGTGGGATCGGCCCACTTTTCGCATGGTGTGTCGATCCCACTTTAGGCAAGTGCCTTTCCTTTTCTTTCTTCCTGGAGCAATCAACGTTGATTCCTTTTCTTTTATGTTTCTTTGTTTTTTTCTTTTGTTCAATTCTTTTCTTTTATTAATACAACGTTCATTCCTTTTTTATGTTTCTTTCTTTATTTTTCTTTTGTTCAATTCTTTTCTTTTTGCATCAAATTAAAATACTAAAAATTTAATGGCAATCCTACTTCTTTCTTTATCTTCATCTTGACTTATAAATGAATCTATTTTTTTTATTCTTTATCAATACATAACAAAAAGTTTATTAATCTAAACAAAATAAGTATATTGCATTTCATATTCATACACTATTTTTGTTTCTGTAATATTTTTTATATTCATATACTTTTTTTGTAATATACTTTTTATATGCATACACTTTTTTGTAATATTTTTTATGTAAACAGTTTTTCTATAACGTAATTTTTTTCATCACTTTTATATATTTTTAGAGGGTTTTAAGACATTGAGTTTGTTTATTTTGATTCTTGAAGTTACATTTGATAATCTATCATGAAGTTACATATTCTTCTGCGCGATTTACATCTTAATGTACACGAGTTACATCTTAATATACGCGAGTTACATCTTAATGCATGCGAGTTACACCACAGAATAAACCCCTGCTATATCATTTTTATAGCTCTAATGTTAAAAATAAAACATATTCACTATTTAAAAAAGTAACTAAGCTATTAGGATCAATTTTCATTGTTTACATTGAAATCAATGTTTATGATATATATATTATTCTCAAACACACACAGAAAAAAATTGTTCAATTTTCCAACAAGTTACCTTCTGTTACACCTAAGTTATATTTGCCATCAACGCGAGTTACATTTGTAATAACATGAGTTACGTTAAAAATTCAACCCCTGATGTTGAAACAAAAAATGATCTTTTTTAAAAAGAAGAAAACCGTCAAATAAGTCCCTGTACTTTTATCAAAAAGTCAATTAAGTCCTGGTACTTATAAATGAACCAATTAAGTCCTTCAAGTATTTAAAATCAATCAATTTTTCTATTTAGCCGGTTGAACAAAAATATGGCCGGTTAATGCTAATATGGAAGTCCACGTGTCAATAAATTTTATTTTTTCCTTTTCTTTTCTATTTTCTTTTTCTTTCGTTATTTTTTCTTTCCCAACTGGCTTCTTCTTCCCGGATGCATCGCCCAGTTCTTCTTCTTTCCTTTCTTTCTGTAGTTCTGTTCAATTTCTTTCTTGATTCTGCCTCACCTCATATTCTCTCAGTGGCTTTTCTTTCTCGATTTCTGCCTCACCTCATATTCTCTCAATGGCTTTTCTTTCTTCCTTCCTTTTAGGTTCTCTTTGGGGCGGCGGGCAACAATGGTTGGAGAAGGTGTTGCCGACGAGCGGCAGACAGAGAATGATATAGGAGATGGGACGATTGTAACGGTTTATTGGAAAGTATTATTAACTTTATTTGAAAACATCACAAAATGTGCAGCGGAAAATTCAAAGGGAAATAGGGGTGCTACCGCCACACTCGGTTCTCTCTTAACCGAGTGCACAGGCTAAAACAACTTAAACTTCAAAATCAAAAGCTCACTGATTAAAGTTATTGAAAAAGAAATTTACAATGATTAACTGATAATGTTTTCTAGCGAAAT